TGCTTAGAAAGCAACTCTTGGTGTTTATGCACATGGTCCTTCTTGTACTCGTGCTGCAATTGTTGGTGGGCAGGAATTCCAAATTCTCCAGTCCAGCGGATATCTGTTTGTCCCACCCTTTGACCTTTCTCTCAGAGAGCACCCCTAGCCACTCCTCCTGCCCAAGACTGCAACAAATGAGGTTGGTTGGCCAAGCGCGACAGCCTCTCGGTCACACTCCCATGGACCACTTCATGAAGTGTGAATTGAATGCATGCATGCAGGCAGGCAGAAACACAAGATGGGCCCACTGTTTCCAAGTGCACTGAACCTGGTGTTTTGAGAGTCAGCAAATTCGGCAAGGCTGACATGAACAGGGTAGGGGAAATGGAACGTGAAATCTTCCCTGCGCGCAGTTGGACTTGAAAAGGAGAGATTCCCTGAAAGCGAAATGAACGAAATACAACAAAAATTAGCCCAGGAGTGTTGAGAAGTATGACCTGTGCATTTTGTGCAAGTTGGCCTTGACCATTTTTACTAATTGGGCCAAAATGCTGTCAAGGACAGAAACAGTAATGAAACGTCATTTCCATCAATTGGCAATGGTGCTTGGTCTTGTTGTTCAATGCACTACCGTATCTTTGGCAATCAGGAATTTCAAACTGCTTTTAAATAGTTACAAACATGCTGAGTTTTGAATTTTTTTCATGGTGAAGGTGGCAAGCCAAGATAATAAGTTCTTTACCTGAACCACACATACAAGGTTCATTAGTCCATGGTGCTACCGCCAACCTACTACCTTTGCTTACAAACATGAGTTTCACATGCTGCGCTGCATTAAATCTGTTCTCTGTCACTGATATTTTTAACAAGTCAGCTTACTGAAAAGGGCCTTTTCCAAAAAGGAAAAGCTTAGCACTGCAGTTTTAAGCACAGTCCACAGTAGTATATCAGCTCAGAGACTGCACATGAACCACACAAATGTGGAGACTCCTCAAGCATGTTGTGCACGTGGCATGGCACCGTTTCAAATTTTCTGGGCAGACACATCGGCCTGTGGACAAGTAATAAAAACAAAACCTGGTGGCAATTGCCCATGCATGCCATACTTGCGAAAACAATTGAGATCTGTCGCGAGCACCCGTTGCCCCGTGGTACGCCACCTGAAACCCGCTTGACACAGTCACTGGACACCTCTCATCATTTGTGCCCGACTCTTCCCCAAGTGAAAACACTATCGAAAGGCGCACTCGTGGGCTGGGCGCAGTGCTCTCGTGGCAGGCCGGAGTGGTCACGAAAAACCAGCGGCGATCCACCCGCCGCGCTATAAAATTTGATTGGTTTGTAACCAGAACACCCAAGTGCGTCTTTATTAGGTCATTTGGCTCAAAGGATACTATGCAGAGAGCCTTTGCTGCAGATCCCCTTTCCAAAAAATCAAGAAAAAAAAATTAAGAGAGAAAAAAATTTAATTAATTATCTCATAAGGCTGTTTTCGATTGAATAACAATCTCACCTTATTTCAAGTATCTTTTTGCGAGGGGTGTTTATTGTTTGTTTCCACAACATTTTCAGCATTAATCAAAGGACAATCACTATCAGTTACGAATATCATTGTTGTATGTGCATGCTTTGAAACCTCCGTAATATGGTACATTGTATTGGGCAGTTACAATTTGGTTGCGACATGCTCAGCACGTGGAGGAGATTTTCTGAAGTTAGACTGCACCGCATGTACATGTATTTGGCAGCGAACATGGAATTAGTCATCCCACTCTTTACTGATACACCAGAGATTTCTTATACATCTAGAGTTTTTTTTTTTTTTTAATTCTTATGAATTTCGAGGTGAAGCAGAACCCCTCCCAGTGCATTTTGAGTGGAATTGACGCTGAAAACCGTGTTCCAGCTAGCTCTGGCTGCAACCCCCCCCCTTCCGAGTCTGCAAGTAAATGCTTGGGCATGCTCCAGTGGGTCAGGCCAGGGCTACACGGAGATGGAGCAAGCAGACACGCATGGCCGACAAAGCAACGCTTTTCATTAATATATTAGTGGCTTGGCCACGGCTGGCTGGCCGTGTATAATGAGGGTGTGAACTGGCCCTTAGCGCATAGTAATAGCCTATGCTTTGGGAATACCACCCATGGCCAGCCAAGCGCAACCTGGCCTTCCAAAAGCAGCAGGCAGCGCGGGATGAAGACGGATGACTGTGCCAGGCTGTCTAGAGGATCATAGTCGTATTTTTCTGTTAATGGTCATGGATGGGTAACTGTGCATGACCGTCACACTTGGCAGGATGAAAATGCATATTTGTACATTTGGTTTGTGGTGAGGAAGGAGGAAAAGGATGGCTTTTTTTTTTTCTTTTTTCTTTTTTCTTTTCTCTTTTTTTTTTCCTTTCTGTTTTGACTTCTCTTGCGTGTCAAATGGCTTCATGAGAAACTTATGCAAATTGTAAAGTGCACATGCTCCTTGTTTGTTTGCCGGAGGCTTTATTTGCAATTTATTTTAAAATTGCTGTGTGGAATTAGACAGTCTGAGCAGTCGGACCCTCATCTTTTGTGTATGACGCCACCAGTGCTTGTGACAGTCAAAAGAGCACACGTCATCCATGAGACACGTCACATCAGTTATTGTCCCCCCCCCTCCCCCACAAAACAAATCCAACCTTAAGTCATGGAAATCAATTCTTGGTTTTGGGAAAGAAGCAAATATCAAACATTCATGTAAAAAGAATTGTTGCAGATACATCCAACTCTGCTTGTACACAAACGGTACTCGTAAAAAAACCAATATTCCACAAAACCATCGTGTCCTCAGTAATGGCCCACACTACAGTCTGACGGGTACATTCATGGAATTTAACAGCAGCCCTTTGTCTTGTTTAAGAAATTTCTTGAGACCACAGACTTCAGACAAAACTACTAATAAAGTTATGTGATGCAACGTACATGTACTGGGTAGGTTTGATGTCATTCCATTTAATTTTGATTTGGAATACTGTACTTACTCTGTGAAGTGCATTAAGCCAACAGAAAAAATATTCCAAAGTACTTTCCGGCCTATTACAGTTGTGTTTGTCATCTCTTTGTTGTGAAAGTTGAATTTAAGAAAGAGGATCATTTTTTGCTGACTGAATTAGGGAACCCATCAGGAAGTTGTGTGGAGAAAGAAGAAAATCCCCTTCTGGTTAGCCAAGAACAAAAAGATCTCCTCTGCGTTACAATCACTTTGGCCTGCTTTCAAATTGAGGATGGCAATTCTCAGTCAGTGGATGAAGTCAAGGACAGTTTGTGAAAGTGGGAGGGGGGAGGCTTCCCCTCGGGATTCAGGGCATATCCATTTAGCCCCCTTGCTGCCCTTACCAGAAGGTCAACTGTTGGCAATTGTGTTACCTTTTTCCTGTGAGTGGCCCAGCTGGAGTTGGATGAAGTAGAGGATTTTTTTTCCTCTCAGCCTTTTTTTTTGATGTACATCTAATTGAAAGGACTTCCATTCAGCAAGGGCAGTGTCTTCTTGCTCACAATATTTAAAGTGTCCCGTGAGAGCTCTGAAAAGCAGGCAGTTTTTACACAGTGGGTTGTGCTAATGTGCACTGCTTGCATTGTCTCGTCTTCAGTTCAGATCATCTGAGTAGTCAGTTTGGCTTGTGATTCACAGCAGAATCTCTTCAGGGCTGAATCTCTTCTCTCTCAGAAAAAAATCAGGTTTGAACTTGAAAATGCACATACAATGTACCCAAGGAGACATTACCTTAATTGGTTTCTGAGTTGCATGTACATTACTTCCCCCTCCACTTGGCATTGCTTAATTAATGTATGTATCCACCTTTGCCGAAGCCATGGTACATGTATGTCCCCAACATGTGACTGCCAGCGTGCAGCATAGAGTCTTTTTCTGTTAAGAAATGAAAGCTGCCCCATTAAATTGAGTGAGTTCAGTTGCCACGTTTTGATGTCTTGCTTGGATAGTTTGCACATGACAGACAGATCGGTGGTCCAAAAGGAAAAAAAAAACCTCCCAGATGATCAAGCAAACTGCTTCCCTCCTCTGGGAGTGAACCCAAAACTGTCATTAGGGGAGTGTAAACCATGCAGTGGAGGCTGTCTGGCTAAAAGGAGAGCCACCGATCATCAGCTGAGCGTGGTGATTGATCAGTCATGCTCTATTTATGCATTCCAGCTTCTTTTCTTCCCTTCCCCCCTTTGGTTGTTCTATACTTTTTGCTGTAATTACAGTGGTCCATGCAGTCATCATCATGCAGTTGACCTGGGCTCTGGTTCACCTTGCATACCTGTCTCCAGCCACTGAGATTGATTCTAAGGTTCAGATATAGTAATTATCTAAGACAGAATTCCCAAGCCTCCTCCATCCCACACACAAACACAAATTGTGGGACTGGTATACATGTACTGTATTCTGTGAAATGTTCTTTATACTTTCAGTTTGTATTCTACAAAAAGCTATTACCTGAAAAAAAAAATTTACTGCATAAATTTATGTGCTCCTAGGGTTCGTAATGTGTTTAGTATTTTTCATTTGGTTCACAGACAGAAATTGCCAAACGTCTCAATGCGATCTGTGTACAAATCATCCCATTTCTGTCACAAGAGGTAAGAATGATAATAAGTTCAAAATTTAGAAACATTTAATTCAAAAGCACTTTGGATCATTCTGAAATGTTGTAAAAATTCTGCATATCCATATGCTATGATTGTCTGGTCAATTTTCCGATGTATAGTTGGTGCTTTTTATGTGAAATTTAATCAGTTTCATTGCAAAAGATAGTTTAGCTTGTTAAATTCTACTGAACCAGGTTTGCTATTTTTACACCTTTTTGGTTATTTCTCCACGACATTTGTTTCTTGGAAAGCTAAAACATGAAGTCCCTCATTGCCAACAGCTATTGTAATTGCATGTACCTGTATATTAATTGACTGAACACCAATTAGCTTCCAACAATTTGAAATCCTTTTCTGGGCAAAATGTTTGTGATGTAATACTCATGTAGGGCCTATACCATGCATAAGAGCAGAGCAGGGAACGGAATTGTATTGACTTGCAGTTGGCTCCTGATTGCTGTGGTCACTGCTGTTGCAGCCAGGAGACTAGGGCACCAGGTCATACTCACACTTGCAGTATGCACACCAAAGCAGGGGAGACAGTTGTGAGACCATCAGGCATCAGTCATTAATACAGAAGGCCGATAAATTATAAGCCCCACCCCATTATAGGGTCAGCAAAAGTGGGGGGCCGTGGTCCCAAGTCGGAAAAGGGAAGGGGGCACTGACCTCCCTGGTTTCTCCCCTCCCCCCACTTCCACCAGCAGTGATGCATGCCAATTTTGTGCTACTGATTGCAGTCTTGCTGTTCACACCATTGCTGTGTCTTCTTTTTGCAGCACCAACAGCAAGTTGCAGCAGCTGTGGAGAGAGCCAAGCAGGTCACCATGACAGAGCTCAACGCCATCATTGGGGTGAGTCCCGAATAACCTACCAAATCCCTCCACAGGCAGTGCCAAATTTTACCAGTAATGGATAGTCATGTTTGTGTGTGCCTCCATGGAAAAACAACCCCAGCCCAACAAACAGAAATCAACTTAGGGCCCTTCTCGTGTTTTTAAAAACCTTGAAGGATGTCCTTCAGTATTGTCAATCAGTTGTTCATTAGTTTGCAACAAATTCATAAATGGATTTTACATGTTCTGTCTCATCACAAGAGAAGACTGAAGAGTGGTTGTGATTGCCTTTAAGCAAAGAGAGAAGTTAAACATTTGAAAGCCTTTTTTTGCAGGCTTCTTTTATTGGTTCTTAGAAAAGACATCCGGTTATATCACAACTTATAAGAAGAACTCGCCCTACAATGTATTTCATTTTCGAGGAAGCTTGCAGTAGGGATTTGTGTGTGTGATGCACACCTTCCCCTATGCCGTAGCCCAACCCACCGAGGGCTGACCCGTCCACTTTCCCCCTGGCTTTGCAGTATGAGTTTGGGTGATAAACCCACGTGGAACTGGCCCATAGGAAGAGGTCTGAGCAGACTTTCCTTCCTGCACAGACAAAAGTACCGGTAGTCTGGGTTATCGTGGACGTCTTCCCAAATGGCATATGTATCTGGACATCTTACATACAACAAGATTACATTAAGGAAGCATTTGCCAAGCTTGTCCATTGTTAAAACATGTTATCCTCAAACTCGCCCCCCCCCATATTTGCATATGTCATTTTTGTTGGTCTTACCAGTATTCAATTAGTGATGTCAAGACGACCCCCACCCCCTTCTTGGAAAAAAAAAACAAGCATAATTCAGGGACGTGGGAAGTTTCAAATTCCTCTTTGCAGTTGGGTTGGCATGGCGTGGCTTAGCATGAGATCTTAATTTGAGTCTGGTGAATGTTTGTGGTTCAGCGGTTTTTCTGTTCACAGCACAGTACACCCACCCAAATGTGAAAGTGGATTTTATAGCCTGACTCAGGCAGTGCGGAATTTGCCCTATTCTCCACAGCCACTGATTGTAAAATTCAGCGTGACTGTGCAGCCCAATTTAATCAGTGAGAAATATAATAATAGAAAGTCGCACACTTACGTTGTGTGTTTACCAAAGAAAGGTCACAGAGAATAGAGGGCAAAGATGCTGACCCCTGGTAGAGATTGGTTTGTTTTGGGTTCGCCAGTCCCCAGACTTGCAAGAGAATGATTGAAAAGGTCACAGGCATCATTTGACAAAAATAAATCCAGTTTTTGTTTGGGAGAGGGGGGGGCTAGCTAGAATGCCAGTATAGCAGAGAGCTCCTTGTCTACAGAATGAAGTACAGAAGTTTTCTGTAGGGCCGTCCCCCAACCGCTCCAATCATTGAACCTCCCTGTTGTCACATGTGTTTAAGCATTTCGGTATACATTATCTTAACGATATGTTTTTCAGATAAGATTATCTGGAAGTGTGAGCGGACGATAAATTCAAGTAACGTATACCCATCTCTACATAGATAAAGTTGCACCCTGAGCTATTTTGTCCCTTAGTTTGCAGCCACAAAAGAACAGGAGAGTTGCTGTCTTCCACTGGAAGATGGAAATGTCTCAAGATGTTTAAGGTTTTAGTTTTGAAATCATCAGCATTCTTTTTTTTTTGTGCGGATGTAGGATACAAAAGCAACATTCAAAGAACAAACGAAAGAGGAAAAAATCCATATATTGTTGCCATGACACCCATTGCGCCCACTACCCAATCAGGCCCAGCTCAACCACCTTCTCATGTAGGCCTGTATCTTTTGTTTCTTTCTCAGCAACAGTCGGCGTTTCCGCACTTTTCCGTAAGTTTCAGTTTCCTTCTCTTTTCACTGAAAATACATTTTTGACGAAGTAGACGCAGAAACAGACCCCAGAAAAAAAAAAGTCTGGCGTGGTTCTCGTTTGGGGGGGAAAAAAAGGAAACTTCACTTGTTTGCGTTGCAAAAGTAGATGCGAAACCAGACCCCTTGAACTGCTTGGTTTGGTTTGGTTCGGTTCTTGTTCGGGAGGAAAAAGTTTGCCAATGCAAGGAAAAAGAAATGATGAAAAACAAATCGTAACTACAGAAGCAGATGGAGTCATTGACTTTACTCAAAAGGTGTTCCAGTGCACATGAGTTTATTGAGACACAAAATGTCAAGCATAAAACTAGGTTTTGGAAACTGAGTTACACAACAGGAATTAAATCGCATGTCAGTAGGCTGCGTGCGTATACAGAACATTATGTGGAGAGTTTTCTGCGAGGACATGTATCCGTATTTATGAACGCCTGTGCTAGTACACCTTTCCATTTGCAACCTTAGTGTGATGACACAGCCATTTTGGTTTGGTAAGTGGTCAAGTCATTTTAGAAGGGACAAGGTTCAAGATGTGAAGCTTGTACTGAAGTGCTTTTAACACAAGACACTCGGGTCTGTTCAAATCATTGTAATGGTTTCTACATGCTGTATGTGTTTGTTTGAGACTGGGCCTGGGTAATGTTGGTTGTGAATTACATAGTACACACTTTCTTATTACATAAATATTGATCAATACCGGTACTTCCCACGTTAGTGTTTTGAAATCGTCCATTTCAAAAGCTTTAATGGTGAACAGATGTTTATTATATGGAAAGAGAGTTGCTTATTAAATACAGCCTAGTCCAACGTAAGATTTTTAAAAAAAATAGAATACCTCCGATTGAAAAGCGTTATTTTGGAGCCAGGAAAGTCCCCACTCGCACCACATTTGTGGACTGGGGTACCCTGGAGGAGCGATCGACGGGTAATTACATTCTGTACTGGCTTTGTGCTCCCTTTTAAGTCAGTAGATATTATTTGCTGGTTTATTTGTACTATGTAGTCATTAGAAGTACACCTATCACAGTACTTCACAGCATACATCAAACTGTAACGTGATGACATCGTGCTTTGTTTACATATGTACACTTTCCTATAGCAGTGAGGTGGGACACAATCGAAACCCCGTAGGAAAGGGCACATAGGAAAACAAAGCATGACATCATTATGTTCTAGGTCTCTTGGTCATTGTAAAATTGTTGGAATTACATGAAGATTGTCAAAACCATAGCACCAGCAGATAAGTATCTGCATTCAAGTGCACCGTTTCGGTCATCATCCCTTCCTCCTTCCCCAAAGCTCAAATGTGAGGGTAGATGATTTCTGGTTACCAGCTTTTACAGCTGCCACTAAAATAAACAACTTTTTATCTGAAGTCAAATAGGGTTTTTTTGGAGAGGGTTAAGACATGGGATTGGATAGTTGCCAAGGTCGCAGTCTTTCATCTTGTTAAATAGTCAGTGTCAACTTGACAAGCCTGCTTAACCAGATTAAGAGAGGGAACCAGTGATAATTGGCATTCAAAGCATGTTTGCCCAAGTGCTCCCAGCTTAAAGGGATTGGTATTTAAGAACTTGATTTGTTGGTTTGTGTTTAATATTTGTTTGGGGGGGTGTAGAACTGTGGCTGATAAAGTTAATATGAAGCCAGCTGTTAGCACCATTGATTATTTTGTACTTTTGCAGTAGTTTGGAGTAACAGAATTTATAGCAGTTGCCATCAGCTTACTTAGGATGTCGGGATTCAAAATCGTTGAATGCTTGATTTGAACACTTAATGCTGACATGTAGTTTAGATGGTCGATGCATACATTTTTTGAAGGCCAATTTCCTACCTCTATGAGAGCACTAAATAAAAAGTATCAAGTCAAAAATATTACTCATTTCTTTGGTAACCTAATATTTTGCATTTAATGACACTGATGTGTTCATTAAATTTGTTAAACTTTTGGGTCTCTGTGCAATATTTCATTTTAAACTACACTTCAATATTCTCCATGCAATTCAATTCTAGACTTTCTAAACTGTATGACTGGCCCAGTAACAAGTTGGATTAAAAGGTTGAGAGATTTTTAGCTAATTTTCAAAGCCAACACAGGTCTTTGTTGCTGCATTGATTTTTCTCCTCATCCGGCACCCAGAACAGCATTCTGTCAAGCACATAAGAGAAGCGCCCTTAATTAATGCTAGTGTGAATGGGATGCTGTATTGTTGACTCTTGCCACTAATAATCTTGTGGGTTTTTGGGTGTGTAATACACAGGGCATTGTTCAGCAACAGCTGTTCTTTCAGGGATCAACTTGGAAAGTGAGTGTGCTCCTTAAGACAGCACCGATGTTAATTTAGTCACAGTGTTTCAAACAAACTGCCCTTGCCGTCAACCATTTTTCTTTGTGCTAGTGTGTGTGGCAGTCATTAATCAAGGTTCATTTTGCGTACCCGTATTGTAATTTGATTTTTTGATAAAGATATTAATGTGCTGCTGATTAGTAACTCGAATGACGAATAACATGGACATATTAAAAAGCCTGGACAAACAGATTCAAATTGGGACTTAAATTCTTATCCCTTTGGATGGCAGTAGTTGAACCAGCTTGTTTAAAATGCCATAAGTTAAGTTAATGTCTGTACTGTCTTAGAAAACAATGAATTTTGCCTGCACTTATGAAGTAACCCTTACAAGCTTTGTTTCTCTCGTCCTAAAAAAAAATGGCTCGGAATGTTTTCACCGCATTTTCATCTTGTCACAGTAGTGTTTCTTTATAGGAGCATGAATGAGAAAATTAATGTACATCTGTTAGCTCAATTTTTATTTTTGAAATTACATTTTTGGGGCTTTGGTTATGGTCGGACAGTTTGTTGTTGATTTTCGACTGTTTTAATTTTCATTTATGCCTGCAGTCTGTCACAAAACTACCAGAAATTTTTAACTTAATAGTGGGACGGCTATATGGTGTTCTCACAGTAGCTTGTTGTTTAGTAACATGTACGTTGTTTTTAAAACAATTGCTGGGAAAGGAAGACTGTTTCCTAATGTTGTTACATTTGTGGTTTTTATTGTCCTTGTTGCCTGTAGCAAATTTACTCCGAATAAGCTCCTATGAAAGATTCCTGTGTGGTCACAGCTGCATATATGCCACGTGACAATGGCCAGTGCTATAGAGTACCAAGGTGTGATGTCATTTACATATATGCCACATGACATGGCCAGTACTACCGGTATAGAATACCGAAGTGTGATGCCATTTAGAACCAGGAAGTGCTGTACCAATTAATGAAGTACGCAAGCGTATTGTTTGCACGCAGGGTCTTGCACCAATATTGCCTTTTACACACATAATTGTGCATGTGACATATTCACTTCGGTACTTTATGTTGCTCATAATGATATTTGACCAGTATTACATTGTTGAGATTGATGTTTGAAACAAATGCTCACCAAGTACCCGTTTGCTGCTGGTAATGTTCCAGCGAAGCAAAAATGTCCCGCACATGTGTAAGAACCATTCTTGACTTGTTTGGATGTTTCAACGTCCCTCCCTTACAGTTTTCACCAGGAGCCTCTGAAATCAGCGGCGATAATTATTCCCAATCAGATTTCTCAAAGTGATATCTCAGCCATAAGATTTCTCTTGTCACGACTTGACTGGTGGGTGTATATCGAGAGCTCACTTCCTAGTTTGTTCTTTTTTATCCCCCCCCCCACTCTTCACAGGGAGGCCAGGCAGCTCTCCAGCACCCATTGCCCCACGCCCATGCCCCACCTGTTCCCCATGCCTGCCCACCCAGCCAGCATAGGCGGAGCCCCTGGTATGATGTCAGGGCACGGCTCCGGATTGTTGCAGTTGTCTAATGCCATGAACTCGCACCCTCCAATTCCTGTCAAGGATGAGAAAGGTATAAGCTGAAGTCATCAGTTTTTCCCTATCTGTTAAGTCAATCTATTGCTTTAAATTATAACTGTATTTTTTTAACACCATTATTTTGTAACTTTTCATGAATGTGTGAATGTTATTTCAAAATTACTATAAGATCTAATAGTAAGAGAGCTTCAGCATATAAACTACTGGAAAAAACATTTTCCTTTGAGTTATATGAAAAGTGATTAGTTCTTTTAGGAATTATTCCATAGATATTGTCATCGTTTTGGCATTCAGCATTTAGTTGTGGCTGGGAAACTTGATTTTTCCATTTGCAAGTCTGTCGATTATGTACAGCGAGATGAGTGTACTTGAAGTCATGATACTGCCCGTCAGTGTTTGCTTCAGATAGATAAAAACTAATGCCTTGCAATACTGTCTTTTTTGCACCTCTTCTTATGTTGTTCTGTCACTCTTCTGCCATGGATTGTTACCATCATGCCACCGTTGCATTTGTCTACACAGAGAGACAGGTGAGTGTTCCCTTTACATATAAGGTACATACATGTGACTTGATTTGCATGCAGTTTTTTAACTCGACAGTCTGAAAAAGTGAGATGTGTATTTCAAGTACATGTACTAAATGATGTGTCCACAGAAACAAATTAGCATGTGAACATTAAGCTTCAGCGTACAAAAGAACTGAAGTTCCTTTGTAATCCCTTCAAATGGAAATACCAGGAAATGCAATTACACACACTGGAGACTAGATGACTACATTTACAATGTGACTACCAGTAGATTGACTCCATGGATGCTGAGAGTATGCACTAGACTGTAAAAACATTAACCTTGTGCAGACCCATTTGGCAGTAAGTTGTTGGACATGTTTGCACTGAAACAACTGCTTTTATTGGAGATGTTGTATTTCCCACTGCAAACTTTTTTTATTTATTATTATTATTATTTTTTGTGCTTGGACAGTTTGGTATTATTTTCCGTTATAACACAGTTATAGGGCAATGGGTTATTTTTGTGTGTAATAGTTTATTTATTGAATGAGAGAACTATGGAATGAGTTTCTCTTTGCATTGGACCACCATTTGATGAGCCTCTAAATTGTGTGGAAGCAATTTAGAGAAGGAAATTGTGCAGGTCTTCTTCCTTTGTTCCCCGCACCTGTCTGCCCCCCTCCCAAATTTAGCAGGGTTTGTGCTGGATTAATGCACAAACTTTTTCTGTACTGTAGCCAGACTTCTCCTTCGTGTAACAGTAGCACATCCTTCATTTTGGAGGGATTATTTGTGGGGCAATGCGATTCCAGCCAGTTCAGGGGCTTACCCCCTATCCCAGCCCCCACATCATCTCTGCACAGGGATATACATGTAGATTGTAATCTATACAGCTTTCCTTTTTTTTTCTGTTCTTTTCTTTCTTTCTTTTTCAGCATTACTTATCATGCAATCATCTCTCGGGCAAACCTTGGATTTTTCATCCTCCAAAGGGTTTTGCCAGGGGTTGAGATTATAAATATACATTGAAGAATGGCACAGGTCAAAAACGGCTTATTCGGAGAGAAGATAAAATGTACATGTATTATACCTGTGTATATATTGACCTTTTGGAACTGGTGCTTAGATCTTCAAGGACATATATTGCATACATGTAGGTTTGCCTGTTACTGTCTCATAAGGTGCAGGTGAGGTGAACAATCCTCTCCTGATGGAATAATGGAAACCTAAAAATGCACCACTTCACACTGTGAAGTAACATTTGATAAATATGTGCACAAGGCTACTGAAAGCCAGATTTTTTGGCAAACCTACATTGACATTTGTGGGGGGGGTGTCACAAGTGTACAATACAAGGTTTGCATTGAGAGCATTCAAGGAAATTCCGAGGAAATTGAGGGTCACTTGCATTCCCAAGTTCATGGAATCAACTGGAATTTCATGAGGTCATTGTGTCAAGTCTGTCATGATAAAATTTGAAGGACTTAAAACTTAATCATTGAGAACATCCATCATTTTTTAAAATCTGATCATGCAGTTGCATATATGCAGCTTCAGCATCATTGTTGGAAAGTAAAGGATTTAAAGAGATTACTGAAACTCAATCATATCTTATCAAAGATATAATGAAAAACATGAGCCTTGTAAGTTCAATTGCACTGTTTCCTATGGCAGCCTTCCATGAATAAAGATTTTAGAAATTATGCAAACTCTTTGAAATTAATACTCCATTGAAACTGAAATTCCTGTCAGATTACTCGCTGTGGCACATCTGAAGTCAAAAGACGTTCGCATAATCCCTCCCTCATTTGGATAATTGCCAACTGAAGCCTCCCTATAGCATGACAGTTCAACCCGGACGCCAGCTTTCCTGGACTAATGTGCTGTTTTTCAAGAGGATTAAAAGATTTAAAAGAAAAAAAAAAGCTCAGCAAGATGATACGGTGTCAGAGCCTGTAAGCCGCTTTCCAGGCCAGGGGAGAAAATAATCGGCTTACGTCCCGTCTTGTCCCTGTGCAGATTCAGATAAAGCAAGTTATGAAAAATGTATTTATCTCTTGGGGAAAAGAGAGGTGTATTTGGTGGTGGTGGAGGGGCTGGGCAGAAGGATGTTTGTGGTGGGCTACAGATGGCATTGTGATCTGAGAAGGGTAGATGTAGGGCTGAAGAAGACAAACATCATGGAGATGACGATGTGATTAATGTGTTCCCCCTCTCCAGAGACCAGGCAAGCCATCTAGCAGTTGCACTTTATAATACAAGGCAGGGAATAACACCCTGAGTTGTTCAGGAGAGAAACAACTTGACAGTGCCAGCTAAGCGAGACCGTGTGGCAGGTTCTGGGCAGAGGTTTATTGTGGGTCTTTGTATAAAGTTAAAGCTGAGGCATGCTCCTGCCCAACCAGAGGCCTGTTTAAAGTGCGACGCCTGATTATCGACGCCTGATTATCCCTGACTTACTTGCACTGTGCAATCCTTGGCCTGTCTGATGGTTTGTTGGGCTTGTCTGGGTCCTGTTTCTGTGGTGGAGCAAGTGCTTGTTGCTAATGCAAATCAGTGGACATTTCACAAAATAATCATTTTATGGTTGAAGTGCTTGTTCAGCTGTCATTAATTGACACTCATCTTTTTTTATGATAAGGTGTGTCTCCGATCTCCGTGCATCTTTGGTACATCAGTTATGGCACATTATTTTGTGCTCTTTTTGTTCCTTTTGATAGTTTTCTTCTACCCAATACCTTCCTGTATGAAAGAGTACCAGTACACATTCTGTATGTACATGTACATGCAAAGTAACCATAACGATGGAAAAGACTGGTGAAAAGAATGATTAACACACTCCCCTCACAAGATCTTTTTGAAAAGTTTGAATCTTTGGCAACCTTTGTTTGCCCACTGCAAATTGACCAACTTCCCGGGTCATTTGGTCACAGCTGCCTCAAGGGGAGGTCTCAGACAGACCTTGGGATGACCATGAACAGATTTTTTCCCCTTCAGACATCCTTTGCCTGCCCTTTATCCCTGAGTTGCCCTGCCAACAAATGCTGTCAATGACCAGCCTAGGCCGGCACATAATTTGATCATGGTCGAAGTGGCAGCCCGCTAATCGCATTTTCATGCCTGCCTGGGCATCATCCATGCCATGGCTTCCTGTTGGGGGCTGAGTGCATAATGGTGGTCTTTTTGTTGGGTTGTTGGAGTGAGTGGTCATTGGATGGAAAGCCTATTTAATCCAGAAGCAATCACTGGCCTTAATCCCTTCTGTGCCCCCTCCCCCTCACTGCTTTTAAAATGGCTGTCCAGATGTGCTGTTCGGAAACTGGCTCTTCTGCTATTGGAGTGCACATGTAGAGTAGATGTACGCTGTACATGTACATGTACTATAAGCAACATTCCATGGGTCTGTGTACACGATGTGGTGTGCTGTGGTCTGCGCACCTTACACTGTATGCAAGGCCATGCATGGTTCTTGCCCATGGATGGCTACATGTACCTCATGATGGCATGGATCTTGCTACCTCAGAGAATGGCCTGGCTGCCATGAAAGTGTCTGTAATCTAGCCCTTTATTCAGGGAATAGGATTAGGGTTGATTAGGATGGCAGATAAGCCCCTGACTCCCAGCAATGAAACAGTTTATTTGCCTTGAGTGAGACCAGTACTCCTCCCACAGCAGTGGGGCAAACCATAGAGCAAGGGCAAACCTGGCATGGCATTAGAGTGGCCTTTCACTGAGGTGACAGTGTTCTTTCCTGTTTTCCTTTGCTGACGGCAGTGTGCTACCCCTGTAAAAACCTGAGACCTGGCAAGCAGTACACATCACTACCCAAGCCTATGGAAGTGACCCAGTTGCATCAGAACAACTCATCAGCATAAGCAATCAAAGCTGACAAGCTGTATGGCCAGCACTTATGCATTGATGCCCCCTGAGTCAGACAGGATTTGTACCCCCCCTCTGGACCCTATCTCATTAGGGGGTAGGGCCTTCTGTGACCCAGCCAGACCTATGCCTGTGGTGGCTCAGCTCGCTGTGAAGCCATAGAGTGTGCCCATTGTGTGTAATGCTATGCCTGCCTGCCTCTGGGTGGACATCTGAGGGGGGACATGTGGTTTGTGTGGTTAGAAATGAAACCTACGTGTAGTTCGGTTGTTGTTGGAGCTATTAATGTTGAGTTCAGGAGACAGGGCACTACTGGCTATAGTGTTGGTGGACAGATAGGGAAAAGAAGCATTTGTGCTACAAGTCTGGGAGAAAATGCCTTTCCAGAAAAAAAGCCGAGTACTTCTTAAAAAAGCCCAAGTATTAAATGTACCCAACTATAGGTTTGTTTTTATTTCAGGGAAAAAACTGATGCAATAGCTGTGGCACAGTGTGATGATAAAAACATCCTTTAGGTAATAAATTACCACTTGAGAAAAAAACGGGCAACCAAAATTTAATTCATCTCGGCCAAGAAGCTACGCAACGAAAATGTAATTCAGTAATTGTCCCACTCAATGCAAACATGACACCTCTGCATTTCCAAAGCAAACAGGTACTCCAAATTTTCGCTCATGTTAAAACTGCTGTACCATTTTAACCCTGCTGAAGTACTTTGCATTGGCGAACACACTGGCTTCATTCAACTCACACGGTTGTTTGATGAAGAGGAGCAGCCTTGTAAACTACATGAACATGTACTTGAATTAATGCAGTCATAACCCATCCACGCTAGTCTGGATACAGCACAGCATTCTCCCCCCCCCTTTTATTTTTTGAGGGGAACAGTTAATCATTAAATTGAAGCAGGTGATTCTGCAGTGTGCAGAATAATCATTTAAATAATAGTGTGGCTGGGCAGGAAGTGATAAATGCAAGCTTGTTGCACGGTGTAAATGTAGGTACATGTAATGGGTTCGTTCAAAATAAATGACGAGGTATGATAACTCTGGAAGCACATCCTTACAGTGCAGGTAAACCTTCAGATGTAGTCGGTTTTACTTTATTTTCGGACTTCCACGGTGTTCTCCGATTTGCTCTTA